TTGGTGGTGATGCAGTACTGGAGGCGTCACTCATCTATGCCTAGAAATATAGATGATAGCTATCTGACCAACCAATTGGAAAAGATCCATATTTGTGTCTATTCCAAAGAGAGGTGACCCAACAGAATGCAGGAATATCAAACGGTATCATTAATATCACAAGTAAGTACATTTTTTTCTTAAAATGATTCAACAGCAGTTATAAGACCACATTGACAGGGAATTGCCAAAAAATTCATACTGGATTCAGAAGAGGACATGGAACAAGGAATATCATTACTGATGTCAGACAGCTCTTGACTGAAAGAGACTATGAGAAAGGTGTTTACTTGTGTTTGTTGATTATGCAAAGGCTTTTGACTGTGTGGATCATTACAAGCTGTGGATAACATTGTGAAGAATGAGTATTCTAGAATACTTAATTGTGCTCAGGAGGAGTATGTACAAAGACCAAGAGGCAGTTGTTAGAACAGAACAAGGGAATACTTAATGGTTTAAAATCAGGAAGGTGTGTACCATCATTGTATCCTTTCACCATACTAATTCAATCTGTGTGCTGAGCAAGTAGGCTAAGAAACTGGATTATATGAAGGAAAATGTGGCCTCAGGACTGGTAGAAGACTCATTACAACCTGCAATATGCAGATGGTATAACCTTGCTTGCTGGAAATGAAGAGGACTTAGAATACTTACTGATGATGACCAAAGACCAAAACTTTAATTATGGATTGCACCACAGTGTAACGAATACAAAAATCCTCACAACTGGACCAGTAAATCACATCATGATAAGTGTACAAAAGATTGAAGTTGTCAAAGACTTCATTTTACTTGGATCCACAAACAACACTCATGGAAACAGCAGTTAAGAAATCAAACAATGTATTGCATTAGGCAAGTCTGCTGCATAAAACCTCTTTAAAGTGTTCAAGAGCAAAGAGGTAAGTTTGAGGACTAAGGTATGCCTGACCCAAACCATGCTGTATATTTTCAGTGACTTCATATGCATATGAAGTTGGAAAGTGAATAATGAAGACCATAAAAGAATCTATGCATTTGAATTATAGTGTTGGAGAAGAATATTAAAAGTACCATGGACTTTGAAAGAACAAACAAATCTGTATTGGAAGAAATACAGTCAGAATGCTCCTTAGAAGCCAGGATGGCGAGCCTTCATCTCTCATACTTAGGACATGTTATCTGGAGGGACCAGTCCCTGGAGAAGGGCATCATGCTTGGAAAAGTAGAGTGTCAATGAAAAAGATGAAGACCCCCCAATGATATGGATTGGCATAGTGGAAGTAGCAATGGGCTTGAGCAGTAGCTGTGAGGGTGATGCAGAACCAACAAGTGTTTGTTCTGTTGTTCACAGGGTCATTATGAGTCAAAACTGACTCAATGGCACCTAACAACAATAACAACATAAAGGGGCTAAATATACTTAGTTTTCTGCCTTAATGGCAGCCATTAGGGCAGAAAACTTTATATTTAGTAAGCCCCTTTAACGCTCTAGCTTGGACACCATCTGAAAGGAAGCAGTTTTAGGAAGAATCTATGTGTAGATTTAACTTGGGCTAAAGTTAAAGATTTGAAATTTGGCTTTAGGTACAGGGTATAAACAATGGTATATCATCTAGAAAGAAAGAATTCCACACTAATCAAGGTGTCTTTTTATCTCCAACTTTTTATCTTGAAAATGTTCCAACCTGAAAATGTTGAAAGACTAGTATACTAAGCACCCACATAGCCTTCACCTAAATTCAGTAAGAACTCCAGCTTCTATCTCCTAAAACAAGGACATTCTCAGTTTCACACCTGAGAATTTTAGCATTTGATGATGTCTGAAATGGCAGCATGTCCACAGAGGATAATTTTAACTATTAGATTTTCAAGAAGATACAGTCCATGCCTCAGATAGTACAACTGCTTTTTATGATAACCGAATACCATATGACATTACTATTGGAATGATGTTTATTAGATAACTGTAACCCACTGAACAGTGTCCTAACCTTTTTGTTTTGTTTTAACAAGCAGAAATGTATTCTCTCACAGTTTAGGAGGCTAGTCCAAATTCAGAATTCTGGTTCTGGGGAAAGACTTTCTCTGTCAGCTCTGGGAAAGGTCCGTGTCTCCTTTCAGAACCTGAAGGCCCAGTGTTCCTTGGAGCTCTCCATGTGTCGTAGCATCGATCTTTTCTCTGGATCTAGGAGCTTCAGAGTGCAGGAACCCCAGGTCCAAAGGACACCACACCCCACCTCTGGCTCTGCTTTCTTGGTGGTAGTAGCTCCCTTTTCTCCTAACCTTTCATAACTAGTAGGTTGCATCCCGAACTTTATCTTATGATGATTGGAACATTTTGAATATCATCAGCTATGCTTGGGTTGGGGGGAAGCTACATTATCTAATGAAGCTAGATGCAAAAATCATTGAAAATATAAGGTATATTTATCACTGCTATTCGAGATTGATTTTAGGATAACCACATCTGCCTAGCCAAATACCTTCAGAAGAGTCAGTCTTCGATTGTGGGTTTGTCCCTGCGGAGAGCCGAATTGATGTCTGTGCTGATAGCTAGAAACTTGGCTTTTCCTATTTTGGAATCACTTGTACAACTTTTCCTATTTTGGGATCTGTTCTTATATTTTAAAAAATGGTCTAACTTCCTATTCCCCATGTGACTGGAAAGTCAGTCTACTGACCACCTCACCAGATGCCCCTCAGACAGCAGAATGGTCTTCCTGAAGAAGGAGTTTGAGGTCAATGGGAAGAGTGGCCTCCCTGCTTTGGCTCCCACATGTGTCCTTCAGTCACCTTGAGCCCTGAACCGGAACCACCAGGAGGCTTTGTAAGCACTAACGTCAGCAGGAGCTGAGCCACTAGAAGTCCCTGCATTCCTGCCCTCCTCCACCCTCCATCATCAACCACTGCCAGCCCTTGTGCCTGCTTTTCCTCTGAGTCTTTTCTTCTCCAGAGAGTTGAAGCTCTTCAGTGACTACCTTATGTGTGTCTTGGGAGGCTACGGATACCATAGTATAATCTTAGGAATTTCACCACGTAAGAAGCACCTACCAGGGTCCCCTTTCACTCACACAACCACTCTTTGAAGTAGATGGTTTTATTCTTAACAGATGAGGAAACAGAAAAGTGAAGCAGTTTACTCATAGCAGAGTCAGGACTTGAATTCAGATCTGATGAGCCAATACTCCAGCTGTGGTTCTCTACTAATCTCCCCTTTTTGGGACTGCACCCATAATAGGTGTTCATTGAATCTTTCTTGGATAAATGTTGAAGAAACAGCCTGTAAATGTAGAGAACTGTGCCGGTGGCAAGTTTTCCAACAATATCAACAATTGGGAGACATAGCAAGTTAATGTAGTCACTCGAGATCAGAATTGAGCAAATCATGTTAGCTTGAGACCATTGCTTGTGAACCTTAGAGCTGGAAGGGACCCAGGGAGATGCTCCTCACTCCCACACTGGAGACAGGCTTCACGATATTATGACCTGCTAAAGGCCAGAAAGGCCTGCTAAACCCCAAACCATGCTTTGCCCAACAACAAAATATCTCTGAGCATCTGAAAATAACGTTATGGGACCACCCTGAGCTGCTTTGGTTTGCAAGGTGCTGGGTGTGCAATGGTGAGACCCCAAGTCTGGCCCTGCCACAGAGCTTTAAGTGTGGAAGCTGGAGGGCTGCCATTCAGGAATTAGGGTTGACTTTCACTCAGAGTGAGAAATGCATTTCACATTGTGACCCAATAAATTAATAATTCCATAAGTAATACACACACACACACACACACATATATATATTGTTGTTAAGTGCTGTCAAGTTGATTCCGACCTATAGCGACCCTGTACAGGGTTTCCAAGAAGCAGCTGGTGAGCTTGAACCACAGACCTTGCACTTCAAATGACTTTGCAGTCTGATGCATTAATCCACAGTGCCACACCAAGACTCTGTATCTATCTATCTATCTATCTATCTATCTATCTATCTATCTATCTATCTAACTGATGAATATAACTCTTATGCTCCTTGGAAACCATATTCAGGGTCACTATGAGTCGGAACCGACTCAATGGCTCACAGCAAAAACAATATACATAACCAAAATGAAAGTTTCAAAATACAATGCTTTTTCTAAATGTAATGCAGTAAACTCAATATTTTTTGGTTTTAGCCTGGGAAAGAAAACAAAAAAGGTATACCACTTTCTTGGTCATAACCCATGGTGACTGTTACCCCTTAAATCACTGATACCAACTAGGGAAAAGCTACTAAACCCTGAATGGGCATCACTGTATACACATAATCTTAGCATTGGGTAGATAAGAGATTTCAGAGCCCATTCATCACAGGCAAGACTTCTTAGCCTAATCAGAGGAATGCAAATAGGCCCAAGAGAGGAATCCTGTCGTCACCATAGTGGTCCCATCAAATCAGGACTGACTGGAAAGAATATGGAGCCCTGCCCCCCTTCTCTGCTGTGAATCTGAAGAGGTGGTCCCAGGGAGGAAGATAAGGGTCAGCACTCATACATGTCACTGCCTTAAGAGAAAGATGATCAAGGGCTAAAACCCACTGGATATAAAGTCATTGACTGGGGTCCTTGGCAGGTGAAGATCTGACTCCTGAAGAGTGGTGGAGGTAACCGTGGTGAAAAGGGCCTAAGGACAGGGTCTGTGTGTTTTGCTGTTTGGGGATAATCTCGGCTGGTGGGTCTCTACTTCATTGTACACTGAACCGTCCAGGGAGCTTGTTAACATGCTGATTCTAGTTAGGAGACCTGGGAGGGCTTGAGAGTCTGCATTTCAAACCAGTTCCCAGGTAATGCTGATGTTTCTGGTCCTTAGTCCATATTTGAATCACAAGGAGCTATACAGGGTCACTCACTATGAGTCAGAACCAGCTCAATGGCACTTAACAACAGTCTTCCACTTTGAAAGGGAGGGCCAAGACATGCTCCAAGTTGACCACCTGTCTCTTCCTGCAGACATGGTGAGGGGCTGCCACTTCCTGCACATCTTGGCCTGTGCTCGCCTGAGCCTCAGCCCGAGCCTGAGTGAAGCTGTTCTGCGGCAGGTGCTGGAGCTCCTGGAGGACCAGAGTGACATCATCAGCACCATGGAGCACTACTACATGGCATTGTGAGGAGAGGCAGGCAGTCAGGCTCTGACTTACTCATTGTGTCTGGGGGCAGTGACCTCACGGTGAACTCTACGGTGTAGTCACTGGGCAATGGGACTTGGCCTAAATGCTGTAGGCTGCCTTCACCTGGTGTAAAATGGTTTAACTCAGCCATGGGACATGAAAGCACTCCCTGTGGACCAGGCTGGACTGGCATCGCTCATGGAGCAGGAGGAGGACACAGTGTCGGCAGCTCAATAGGTGTGTTTGTGACTTTGGGCTCTGGGGAGAAAGGCATGACATGGTGAAGGCCCATCACACAAGCCTATAACTTAAAACCTCAGACTGGCAGATGAATTCTGTGGGCTGTGTGAATCTAAGGACCAGGTTCAGGGTACTCATTCTCCCAGGGTAAGCGCCACTCACTGACATTTCTGTGGGCTCAAGCACCGGAGGCGGGTCCTGAGTCCTGGGTTAGTGCTGTGGTATAGCCCACTCAGAGGGAGGAGTAAAAAGAATCTAGAACAATATTTTGTGTTTTCAACTTTCCTTATTCTGAATTAAAAGACACTTCCCCTATGGGTTGGAATCATATCAACAGCACTTAACAACAACAAATGACTAAATACATTGTACTTGAATGCCCATGAAGATGGAGGAGGTGGCCAGCCTCGGGAGCTGGTCGATGTCAGGATCAAGGTTGCCATTGAGTATGTAAGACATTCTGGCACCATCAGACAGACTCAGTATGTGCCCAGACAGGTGGCAGAGTCATGCTCTTGCTCATCATCCTAAACAAATGGGAAAACAACCTGAGGTATGTGGTAGGCTTGTTCTAACAGCAGAATTACAAATCCAGCCAGTAGAAACCAAATGCAGAGAAATTACTGGACTCAATTACAGTAATTTTATAAAAGGTATATTTGCTTTTGTGTATTGCCACTGAGCTGTGGAAGGCATTTGCTTTTTCTTTTTCATTTGGCATTTGCTTGATGCAGTCTGCTCTAAGTGACTCATATGGAAAATCCACTGGCTGGTGTGGAAATAGAGCAGTTTGTATTGAAGTCAGATCCAGCAGAATACATTGGGTTTGTACTGGCAAAACCCACTGTGTACTGTGCATGGTTTGGGTCTGGGGGCACACTGTCAGCCTAAATTGTGAGGTTTCCCTTCACCCCTCCTTGTTGACCCCTCCAGATTCTAACTCATGGTGGCCTCGTGTGACCGTAGAACTGCCCCATAATTCCCTTGGCTGTAATCCTTATGGGAGCAGACTGCCAGGTCTCCTGCCCAGCCACTGTCGCCAGCCTCTTGGTTAGCAGCCAAGGACTGACCCGTTTACATCACCAGGGCTCCTTTGTGTGACCTTGGCCTTGTTCAGTGCTGTTTAGTTGCTTCCAACTCATAGCACCCCTTCTATAGGGTTCCCAAGGAACGGCTGGTGAGTTTGAACTGCTGACCTTTAAGTTAGCAGTTCAGTGCTTATCTTACAGCACCACACTAGGATGTCATCCTTAATAGGGCCATTGTCTAAGTGAGGCTGCATCTCCAGACTAGCAAACCAAGCCCATTACCATGAAGTGGAGTCTTCTTACAGCAACCCTACAGAGACAGTAAACTGTCCCATAGGGTTTCCTAGACTGTAAACCTTTAGGGAAGCTGACGGCCACATCTTTCTCCCAAGGGGTTTGAACTACGGGACTTTATAGTTTAGCAGCTAAGCACTTAGCTACTGCGCCACCAGAGTGCCTTTCATCTCCAGACCGAATGCAAATATTCGCTGGGGTCTCAGAACTGGTCGCTGCCCCTTTTCCTTTCCAAAACCTAATGAGAAGGGGCCATGGTCGACTAGCTGAGGTCTGGGTCTGTGTGACATGTTCCCTTCACCTCACCAAGTCCTGTCTTCCCAGCCTTTGCGCCTTAAGGTGTCCATGACACTTGGGGACATTTTGGCACTGCTGTGTTTACTAAATCAGGAGTAAGATAAAAATAAAAGTAGCCCAAGAATATACTAGGACCCCTGGTGTGGCACTGTAGGATAAACACTAGACCACAAACCATAAAATGGGTGATTTGAGCACATCAGCCGCACCTAGGAAACTCTATACAGGGTGGCTACCTAATCGGAACTGACTCGACAGCACTTAACAAAATGTATACCTACTTTTTGGCGACCCTGGCTCAGGGACTCACCACTGGAGGGAAGGAAAGGGAAAGTAACTTAGTGGGGTAGAATTTGAGCATTGGGATTTCCAGGACTGCCTCTAAAACCTAAGGAAGGGAGTGGGGAGCTCACAGAGAGCCACAGCACAGAGTCTCCACTGCGCAGCCGCGTTCCCGAGGCGCCTGCAAATGGAGCAGAGCCGTGGGTGGAGTGGGCGGAGCCACGATGAAGGAGGAGGAAGTTCCCCAGCTGGGAACAAGGGTCGGGGAATGGTTGTGGCCGGGACGGAAGTCGGTACACCAGGACGATGTCGACCCACAGCTCCTGCGCAGAGTCAGCGGAAGCGGCTGCATTTGAGTGCCGTTTCTCATTTCCTGTTTCTTCCTTTTTTTCGGTCTGCGGAAACACGGAAGGTGCTAGGGCACATGGATTCTTACACATAGCCACCATGTATAGGGTTCCAAGGCTGTAAATCCTTATGGGAACAGAAAGTCTCATCTTTCTCCCTCAGTGCAGCTGGTGAATTCGAACTGCTGACCCAGCGTGTAACTGACACCCACAGCTGTCTAGACCCTGGAGTGAGATTATCTCTTTTCAAGTTGAATACAGTCAAAATCTTTGTGTTTGTTTTAAAATAATTGCTTGAAGTTGTAACCTTTGCACTGAAGCAATTTTTAATTTTATCTTAGTTCTAGGTTTTTAATATTTGAAAATGCTCAGTTGGTTTTCTTTGGGCCCCGTCTTGATGGGAAGATAACTGGACCAGGCATCTGCAAGCCTGAAAGGATCCATACTGTGCCATTTACCCTCCTGGGCTATGGTTCTTCCTCTTTAAAGCTTAGGGAGTTTGTAAAACTAAGAACATTGCCTGATTTTTATGTTGGGTTATGTTTTGATTTGAAATAGAATCAAATGATAGAATTTCCTGAGAGGAAGGGCTTCGTCTTTCTTCTTCACTGGTGTAATCCCAGTGTTAAGAACAGTGCCTGTAGTGGGCCCTTGAGAAATAGTAACTGAAGAAGCAAAGCATTCTAAATGTAAGATTACAATTTTTTTTTATTAGGCTAGGCAATACAAAAGGGAGACTCTTCATACCTAGAAATGTGGCAGATGGTTTGATGGTAGATTTAAATAATCCATGTAGCTGTAAGTAAATCTTCACCTGGATACTGTGGTATGTAAGAACTTTGGTTAAACCCTGCTATTTTGAGTGATGCTGTCTAGTCAAGGCTTTGCTCAGTAATCAAGGATCCGAAGCACCCACAGTTTTAAAGGGTTTGTATGTTTCTAGTTCTATGCACAACTATATTTAGATGACTAAAGCCTTTTGTGCAGAATTTTTACCACACCCTTCTTTCCTAATTATTGTAGGAAATGGTCTAGGTTTCTTTCCAGGGAAGCAGCCAGCCTCCCACCGTTGTGATTTCCAGAACAGTCTCTGTTACTCTTTATAGTCATCTCCTCAGTAAGAAATCAACTCACCTGAAACGCCAGCTGCTCTTCTGTAGATGCTCAAGAAAGTATCGGGGATGATGGGGACCTGCTGTAAGAACTTCTTTTCAGTGAGTTGTTGTTGTTAGTGGGTGTCCAGTCAGTTCTGACCCATAGTGACTCTATGCCCCACAGAAAGAAACACTGACTGGTTCTGCGCCAATCTCACAATCATTGCTATGCTTGAGCCCATTGCTCTTCATAGTCATCTCCTCGGGATGCCAATCTATCTCATTGGGGGTATCTTTCTTTTTTGCTGACCCTCCACTTTACCAAGTGTGATGTTCTTCTCCAGGGTCTGGTTCCTCCTGACAATATGTCCAAAGTATGAGAGACAAAGTCCCATCATCTTGGCTTCTAAAGAGCTTTCTGGCTGTACTTCTTCCAACACAGATTTGTTTCTACTCCTGGAAGTCCTTGGTGCTTTGAATATTCTTCTCCAAAACCCTAACTCAAAGGCATCAATTTTCCTATGGCCTTCCTTATTCATTGTTCAACTTTCATATGCATATGAGGCTATTGAAAATACCATGACTGGTATATTCCTGTGAATAGAGGACTTATAATGTATTTTAAACAAAACAAGGAAAACCTTACTGGAATCTTTTATGTGTTACTGTAGATAATGTCTCAGGTGTGTGTGTGTGTGTTTAATGAAACCTCCTGATTGAAACAGACTTCAACCATCTTTTTGCAGAATAATGTTTAGACTCTAGAGTTTTGAAGGTTGGGGAACACCACTACTCTAGGTTATTGCTCTTTTGGGTATATATATGTTTGCTTTATTTTTTGTGTCATTTCTTATTTGTTGCTATAAAGAGACAAATTTTATTTTGACTTCATAAAATTTACTAACATTTAAAAAGCATAGAATATTCCTAAACAAAATAACAAATGTTAAAATAATTACAAAAATAAGAAACGAAAATTATTACAAGTACCATATGACCCAGCACTCCCTCTACTTGGTGTATAGCCACAAGAACTAAGAGCCAGGACACAAGTTTGATACCTACACACTGATGTTCATAGTTCATGGCAGCAATATTCACAATAGCAAAGAGATGGAGACAGCCTAAATGCTCATCAGTGAAAGAGTGGATAAACAAACTCTAGTACCTACACACAGTGGAATACTATGCAAGATTGAAGAACAATATGAATCTGTGAAACACCTCTTAACATGGATGAACCTGGAGGACATAATGCTGAGTGAAATAAGTTAATCACAAAAGGACAACTATTGTGTGGGACCACAGTTGTAAAAACTCAAAAGGTTTTCATACTAAAATCAACGTTCTTTGATGGTTACCAGGGGCGGGAAGGGAGAGTAATTCACTGGCTAGAGGTAGACACATGTTAACTTGGG